GTTTCAGGGTCCTACCACCACAAACCCGAGACGGCAAGCAGACAAAGGAACTTGAAACGGTGTTCGTACCGGTCTCTATAGGGCAGGGTCGGGAGGATATGAAAGCAACCGATAAGACCATCAGGAAACGCGTAGCCCTTCGCCTCTATTGTTCTAGGGAGGTCGTTCGAAAGCAGGTCCCCGTTGATGTTGTCTTTTAACGAATGTGATGGTGAAGGCCAAGGACAACGCTCAGCTCAAGATCGCCCTGTTATGTCTAGACCGATCGATCGATCGAGATTTCCCTGGGTGGGGAATCCCCACTGGGGATCGTAGATTCTGCTCCCAGTATAAGCTCTACCACACGTCTTGCAACCCGACGCTAACCCCACACTGGTGAACGCAAAACCCTTTTCTGAGAAGGCTGGGTCACCTTCGAGGACGAGGCCGCCTCTTGAGCAAAAGTAGTAAATTATGATATTGCCCACCAGGGCGGCGACTTATTAATGCATGACTGAAAGACTGTGATGTTTCGATAGCCTGAAGATGTCTCTTGCGTTATACACAACCGCGAAAACAACGCAATCAACAAGCAAATCGTTACGAGTAGGGAGAACAACATGGTTGGCGTCTCTTCCCAACGTTGTAGGGCAGTCTTGATTCCACCATCGGGCCCTTGCCTCAGCTGGCCCTATGTAGCTCAGATTTCGGCGCTCAATTTGAGCTAAGCGCGGTATGCGACCTCGCTAACATTGTTCTACATGAGAGTCTGAAATATCTTCTTCGCCATCAGAGTTACGTACCAAAGGTGGAATAGCGTTGACTCTCATCTTCGGTGAGGAGGACTCGGGCGAAGAGAGTGCCGCATCATAGGCTGCATCCCCCCACAGACGAGGCTGCATACACCTTCCAACGCCACACGTTCGTCTCCCTCATGTTTGTTTATGTGCCCTCATCGCTCGCTGATACAGGAGGTATGACGCCCCTGTGATAAGACTCAGAACCAAGGGTGTCTTGTAGAAGGGAGCCGATGTCGCTATGGCTTTAACTCCTGTCGTTACATTATACTTCTGCCCGCCTTCAACGGTCGGGACCCATGCCGTTAACGATCGAAAGTCGTCATGAGTTACCGCCATGTTACAGCCCTTCTTATTGATGTGGCGAGATGGTCTCGAAGCATGACGACGCAGTGGTGACGAGATGGGCGATAGAACCCCCGGGTATGTTACCAGTCTCAGACCTCTCCTCTGGCTGAGACACTTCATGTGTACGGTTGAGGGCATCCAGAAATTTAACAGCTGAAGTGGAGTGAACAGGAGCCCAGGAACGCGGCAATCTGATGTTGGCAAAAGATGGTATAGGCAGAGTACGAATAAGAAGGCTATAAAGCCTGGCAATCATCAAGGAGGGTTCAATGAGCTGCGCTCCTGGCTCTTCTCTCGCTTTCTGTGGAAGGCCGAGATGGAGTTCGGGAGGACTATAGCTTCTTCTATGCGGGGAACTAAGGGAAGGACACTGCTATGCATCCAAGCGCACGTCACCACTCACCTGACCCTGTCGGCTCCTCCTCGTCTCCTTCCCGTGTAGTCGAAATGTACCGAGATACGGCTGATGTGATCTGCGTCACGCCCGTTGCGTCGGTTCCTGCCTTAAACGTTAGCCTGCCACTTTCCTCGAATGACTTCCTCGTCGTCGTTGCAGGCGCGTCGGTCCACAGCCCAGAGACCCACGTGGTGACCATTTTCGTGTATTTGTCCACAGTCTGCTCGTTTGCCCCTTCCGACTGGCTTCCTTTTATAGGAGCCTCAGGAGGAGGGGACCTCGCTGCGACCAACCGCGGACTATGGCCTCCCCCGGATGAAGAGCGTCGCCGTCCCGAAGCATCAGAGACGATTGGGCTATCACTCTTCTCTCGAGGGATGCCCACCTCGTCGAGTTCTCCTTCCTGCATAGGAAGCCAATGAGAACGTTCCGTCTCAGAACTAGTGAGAGGCTCGCTCGTCGGTATTAATTCTGCAGTTGTTGCACGTTGACAGGGGTCTATCCTATCATACGACGAGCTCCCTCCCTCCGCTCGAGGGAGGGTAACGCTCAGCTCTCCCTCCTGCCTGTGCGGAGGAAGTGGCGCGCGCCCACTCACCATGCCCAGCAGTATCTCGTCATTGTTTGCAATATCAACTGAGTTCTCTGGGGTTTGCCGTTCGCCAGTCAAGTCGGACTCTTCGAAAGGTACCCGCTGCATCGCTCTGCTGACGCTGTAGTGTAGAGTGATATGCCCCGACTCGCCTTCTTGAGTGAGGGCAGCCGACCCTCCACGCGGCGTCTGACTCGTGTTTCCCTCCACGATGGGTTCGACTGACGCATCGCTCGTCTGAGTGCCACTATCGAATGACTCCCCACCATGGATGGGGTGTATGCCTCTATCTACGACGGGAGCGAACGCAGCAACACCCACGCTGCGGGTTGGCAGTATCGAGGAGACCCCTACGCTACGACAAGGCTTCTTCGTCTGACTGAATCGACGATGACACCGTCGACATGGGAGGTCTGCCTGGGACCCTGCCGAGAGGCTCTGCCTAGCAGATCTAACAGTGTTGGTTCCACGAGTTACTCGAGGAAGAGCCTCCCGAGGTGTATTCTCAGCAATAGCAGATGGACGATGCTGAACATCCCCTTCAAAGCGGTTCTCAAGGCTATCAGTCGAGTCACTGCCACTACAGCTTACAATGACCTTGGGTTCGAATGTTTCTCTCTCACCAACCTCATGAATATCAGTCTGGACTCCACGAGCCATCGTGGCACTGGGCTTGCTGCTGCATTCATTAGCTTTACGATGCTGGCATATTATGACCGCCTCATCTACGATACACTTGAGTACACAGGGAAAGATTTCCCACTGGGCCTGAGAGACACCCGACGCTGCTCGAGCCAGTCCACGGAGCCGCCCTACCGCAGTCTTCTTGTCGAGAACTTGAATATGGTTCAGTTGGTGCCATGCCAGGCGCTCGACCACCTCCATGAGACGCAGCATGAGAGAGCACAGGGGCGGCGCCCTTCGGCCCAATGCCCGCGGTATGTATCGAGCCAGGGCACTCCAGTCTCGTGGGTCGTCGCTACGAATTTCCGGCATAGAAGGCTAAATCGGACCGAGAATATATCCGATTGACAACGCAGTAGAGATGCTCTTTTGTTATTAATCGAAAACAAATACGTTTCAATTGTCCACAGTCGGTGAAACCTTATAGGAGGAAAAGAGACCCACGCCGGGACCGCGAATGATAGACAGAAAACGACGATCCTTGCCGGGGTAATTATCTTCCCTCTGGCCCTAGGTGCGGATCCTGAAGAGACCAGCAGCCACTTGAGGGAGCTGAAGCGGCTCCTCAATGGGCCAACCTACACAGAGCGTCCGGCTCTTCACTGAATGGTGTGAAATCATCGTTAAGGTCATCACCGAAGACCCAGTAGTTGGTGGCTCTCATAGTCGGCGAGTCGGGATCAGAGATTGGGCAAGCATTCGGGTTGAAGCCGTATCTACAGCAGAATTGGGGGAGGGGCAGTAGAGGGCAGCACTTGGACTTACACTGAACAATCAGTCATCTGGCCTATAGTCGCTTGCCATGCCGCATGGGAGGCGACGATCCACCTCCTCACGCGCTGGGCTTCCTTATTCGAGCCTAGTTGAAGGAACCACTGCAGGGCAGTGACACTCGAGCGGCCGCCGCCACCAGAGCCACTGGTCACTGGTGTTACATATATCTGAGAAAAGAAGTAGAGACAAAATCATCGATCTGCTGAGTCGGTCTTTACCTCGGAGACTCGACCATCAGTTAGATTGACCAGCGTTTGCCTCTGCCATTCACAGTCGCCATCAAGGGGACATCTCACCATAACACAGGCGCTTTCTCCAACAGTGTCCTGAAGGAATGGACCATCGGGGAGGGCCAACACGCAGTAGACCAGGGAGACTTACCTCATCACCCGAGACGAAAAGTTTATCGGCCGGCAGAGCGAAGCGTCGTATTTCGGGCATCAAATTTTTCACTCGAATTTGGAACATCGTAGTTGTCGAGGCAGCCGAAGAGGAGTCAGGTGGAACACCAATGTTGGCCTCGTTAAAGGACATACCATAGCCGTCAGCCATCGAGCGCCCATTGATCCCCATAGACCCGAAGGCAGGGAAGGGAGCTGCCGACGGGAAAGCATTGTTCATGAAGGGGTGGACATTGCGAAAACCCGGCTGCTGCTGCTGACCAAAGAGAGGTCCTCTCCAGGGATCTTCCCTTATCGAGGGTGGACCCCATAGAGGCTCCGGTATAGTAGAAGCAGGGCCACGGAGCCAGGCCGATGCATCCGGATTTGGGAAGGGGGCGAAAGAGGAGCACTCAGCGTTGGGAATGGGTTCCCAAACGCTGCGGGACGGTGACGTATCGGACGTCATGTCAGCGGACGTTGCCGACGTCGGGCGAATCACTGCTGGAGCCGATGCAGGACCATGATGATGATGCGCCTTAACCGCTGGAGTTGCAGGGAGAGGCAGCCCGGCCAGTTTCGGGCGCGCAGGCGTGTCGTCGGCCTGTCCGCATGGAGTAGTCTCCCCAACAGGTGGTTCCTGTGGTGGCGGCGGAGGCGGTGGAGGAGGTGGAGGAGGAGGAGGAGGCGGAGGCGGTGACACTGGAGGAGGAGATGTCGCCGGACTCTTCGCTTTAGGCGTTGCCGGCGACCGCGATAACGGTATCAAGTTATCCACCTTGGTCGTCTTCTCGGGCTTGCTCTGATCTTTCCTTCTCCCCGGTGAATCATCAGCTACCCTACGGGCAGGCGGTGAAGGGGACTTGGTCTCAATAGGTGGTGGGATCTTCTTAGAGCGCCGCCCTGGGGTAGGGACAACGGGAGTGGCCACCTGCGGTGTCGGCTTAGGTGGCTCTTCCTTTGACACCTTCTGTTGTGAGGCCGCCGCCGTCGCCTCATTTTTCTTCTTCTGTTGTTGCTGTTGCTGTTGTTGCTGTTGCTGCTGCTCTGCCTCTCTCGCCTTCTGCTCGGCCACTAACTGCTGATGGCGCTTCTTCTTACTCTGTACCGAACACCACATCATGTCAGCCGATCGCTGCACTGCCTCTGTTGGGTTGATGGCCGCTGCCGGTGGTTCTACCACGGGAGGCGGCTGGAGCGACGAGGCCGCTCTCTCCGTCGCAGAATGCTTATACTTACCGCTATGCACGATAAGCTTAAGATCGCCATCTTCCTCACCGCTCTCGTCTAAGTCGCTCCCCGTCACAGATGAGGCCTCGGCCTTCCCACTGGTGCCCATGGAGGAATCATCATTATCATCCGTCACTTCAGTGGCCGTCGGCGCACTAGGAGCCTTCTTCTTCTTCCTGGTCTGCTGCTTCCGAGCCTGCGGCTGCTGCACCGTCTGGTGTTTACCTCCCGCATTGGCCGTATTCGCCAACTCCAATGCCCGCTTACGATCCCTCTCTGATATACGGGTCTCGAGGACCAACAACCACTGAGCATAGATCGACTTGGCCCTGCTCACAGTATTCTGCTGCCATGCCTTGGTGTCAGGCTCGGAGGAGGCACAATAGACGGCCATCCACTTGTTCAACTCGTCGACCGACCCCCATGCCTGGATACAAGCGTGCCACCATAACTGGTCCTTGGGTATACTGGCGGTAGTAACCTCGTTGTTATGGGAAGATGAACTATTCTTCTTCTTGGAACCCTTCCTCCTACCGCCCTTCCTAGACGCACCAGAAAGGCTACCAGTCCAAGCCTGTTCGATCTGTGATGGTAGTGGGGGCGCGTTGGAGACACTACTCGAGGCCGCCATAACTTGCGGCGTCGGCAACACAGTGGCGAACTTCTGCTTCAGCACGTTCATCGAGAGCCTAGCATCCTTCTTGATAAGGCCGCTGATGACGTGTCTGGGCGTGCAGATGAGCTTGCCTGAGCACCCCGAGGTGTATACGCAGTCCTCACTGTGACGGTCCCGGACGAGGTTTTGGATGCACATGTCGTGAAAGGCGCGCTCGGGGTGACAGCCCTCGCTGCAGCGAACCCTAGCAGGATGCAGAGCCGTGCCAAGCGGCATGTCACACTTGAAGCATCTAGGGCCTTGGACCACCCTACGGACGTGTTCTTGGATAGTCTCCACTGATGCCGAATCGATGAGCTGCTCTGGGGTCAGCTGTCTGCCTATGGTTCCAGTGAGAACACTACTGCCGGTAGTGTGAGTAACATGCCAGCCAGAGTCGATAACCTTCCCCTTCACCGCGGAAGACTCTGCGTCAACCTGAGGAGAAGAAACAGATGCCACTCCTTCCCAACAGCCCGCCAATGATCCAACCTTGTCTGCATTAGATGATGCTGCTGCTTCCACTACTGGGGGCTTTTCTCCCACACTCTGCTTCCTCGGCGCCTTAGCCTAGCAAATTCAACTACACCAGGTAGAATCATCATCGACATACCTGAGGCCTAGCCGGAGCCATCTGACGCTGGTGCTCGTTGCACAGACCCTCCATAGCATCATCCAACTTAGCCGCTGCCTCGGCAATGTACCTCTCCGCTACTCTCAGCTCCCCAGGAGTAGCAGCACCAAGGGTGGCCGCCAACTGAGAGTCCACTGTAGCACGATGACCGACTACACACGTTTCTCCTCACCTGCGTCGCCGAGAGCGTGCCGCCCGGTGTAGTAGCGGCTAGGAGTGAACTAGTCCTTGGGACCAATATCTGAGGTTCACCTATGGACCTATCTTCTTGTTGAACGGAAGTCACCTTTCTCTTCACAGCAGTCACAGCGGGGAGGGCGTCAGGCAAGGCAGCATCAGGTGGGGGAGCGGGAGTCTCTGCATGAACACTGTCTTGCTGGATAGTGCCTGCCAGCACTCAATGTCAGCCGAGGCAGAGCAAGTCCCATCTACCTGGCGACATGAAGATGAGGATATCCCCATCGATGATCTTCTCCTCCTTCACTGTGCGATCCACATCTCGCTTCACAGCCTCACGTACATTCACTTCCTCCCACACCTGGCATAACACTAGTAGAGGGGACGCCCGAGCCCTTGATGTACCCTCCTACCTCTACAGCATCAGGGTCATCCTCAGCTGTTGCTGCTGTTGCCTCGGCTATTGTAGCTCCATCTGGAGTGTGACTGCTTATCTTAGCCCTTACCGCGGGAAAGTAATCCCGAAGCCGACAGCGCGTATCCAGCGTCATCAACCCTATCGATATCAGCCGCAGCGTCTGAGAAGAACACACTCAGCCTTAGTCCCACTCCATAACTGCTCACCTTCGGGTGTACAAATTTCACCCAAACTGTCGCTTCTTCTGTCACATGGGTGGACTTTGCTGTCCCTGCGGCTGCTTCGACAACTGCTGCTTTGGAGACGTCGGGCGGTTCATCATGCAAAGTACCTTCAAGTGAGATGCCTCTCGTGTGAAGGCATGGCCCAGCACATACCACAACATGGCCTATTATGTTAGAGTTGGCCTGCTGCCCCAGCCTCTCGCGTCTGGTCGACAACTGCTTTTGCTGTACCGGTGCTGCCGCCACCTGGGGCTGCTGCTGTGGCGGCTTCTTAGCTGCCGCCCCCTGATGATGATGCTGTTGCTGCTGTTGTTGTCGACTTGCCAATGCCGCTTGATGTGCCGCTGCCTGCACTGTCGAAGGCATATACCACGCGATCTGCAAGAAGTCAGTGTATGACTCTTCATAGTAGGTCTCCATACAGCCCTACCATCCTGGACGGGGTCATCAGCTCAAACCTCTCCTGATGCGTATCAGAATAATACCGCAAGGCAAAGAGCCTCTGCATATGCTTTGGAATTTTGAAGTGCTCTTCCACCTGCTACAACTCATGAGAGCCCCCCCCCTAGTGTGGCGTCTGCTACCGCTTTCATCAATCTCTCCACAGGGATGTCCTTCCTCACCAAGAACTTCCTCCCCTTATGCGGGAACATACCGTTAAGGTAGTAACCATCGACCTGATCTCCTTTCCTAAACCGACTACTACCCAAGCTCCTCCTACATTCGTCAGCTGGCCCTCGGTGACTAGAGTAACCTCGATCTGTGGGGACGCGGATGCTGCAGCTGCTAAGGCAACAGCTTCCACTGAAAATGCATCGATCAGCTGTCAAGTACGGCTTGGAGGAACTCTCACTATCCTGATTGGACTGTCCGTTTTGGTCAGCTCTACCCTGTGCTAAGGCGAGCTGATCGTAGATGAGCGGCGAGTGAGCCGCAGGGTGCAGTGCATGATCCCGTGCCACTAGCTGGTGACACTGCAGATGGATAGGCTGAAGCGGCATACGATCGAATAATACGATGCCAACTCGCCAAGTGATGGTACCTTGTGGGGACCATTCCTCGCAGGAAGACCCGCTGTCACCTCAGCGTACAGGCTAGGACGAATGTGCCTGAGGCCGCACATATAAAACATACTCCGACGAGAGAAGCTGCCAACCTAAAGTCCACCCCGCGCTCATAAAGGCGGTCCTCCTGATCCTCTCGGACGTAGCACAGCCCTACACATGCCCACTCCGGTGAGAAGACCCACTCCGTGCAGTGGAAGCCGTCTTGGAGGACCTGAAGGACCTAGCTCTCTCAGAATGCCCTTCCTTGATCTACGAGCCCCCCCTATGGACGAGATAGTACCTCCCTGTAGCCATCATCGATCCGACACCACCGTCCCCTCCGACTCTGCCTGACTAGGACGTAGTAATGCCCAACAGCCAGGTCCTCAGAATCCGTGGCTCCACATACGTTCGTGGAGAAGGTAACAGAGTGGAGGCGATAGCGGAACTCAGAGGTCGCGGCACGGCTCCCATCCTGATGCACGAACCACTCCGTCAATAGTATTCACCAACGCCGCCTTACAATGTGCCTTGAGGACAAGGCGACATCTGGGCTGTCATCTCCCCCCGAGCTCCCAGTGCTATCCCGATCACATACATCATCGTTCTCGCTGCTGCCCCTGACAGGAGGACATGAACATCCCGACCCCCCTTCCAGTACGTTGCCTACCCCTTCCCATCCTCCCCACCAGGCGATGTTAAGAGTGAGCCCTGAAATACCAATACCCGACGACCCGGCGGTGATCTTTCCCCCAGCATACCGTTCGGCCCAGCTGCTGGTATCGCTGGTTGGCAGCTTCCACTACTACCGGGTCCATATAGGGCGTGAAATCGAGCTGTTCCGAAATGTCCAACCTGAAAGATTCAGTCTAGTAGACTCCTACGCTGCCATGAGTAGTTCACCTCTCCTTGATCTTATTGATGAACTGCAGATGAAGTATAGGAGGGATGTTGATGAACTGACAGGAGCGCTTACTCCCACTTGCATCCTCTAAAGACAATTGACAATGACCCCAACGACTTCTTCTCACGAGATCCCCCACCTTCCCCTCCTCCACCCACAATGACCCCATCTGCAGCTGCAGGAGCATGGACCCCACAGCAAGTCCCACCAGCACTAGTATGGCGATGCTCAGCAGTGTTAGTAGGGTTCTGCGTCCAACAAGACAGGTGCTTCTCGATAGAGCCTAAGGAAGGACAGCACTGCGCATAGAGGACTCAAGCCTATTGTTCTCACTGCTCTTCCCGTTGTTGAAGCGTAAATGACTGAACGAATAAGCCTCACTGGTCGTTGGTCCAGACGAGGAAGATGACGTCGCAGAGTCCCGGTCCTGCATAGATTGATCCCGCCGTAAAAGTACCTCCCCCAACCCTCACCTCGTGATGACCATGGTGATGGCCCCTTCCAGAGGCAGTCGACCTCGCTTCCGAGTCCTAATACCCAGCACTTCTCCCCCCACAACTCCGTACACAGCCGCCTACCTGGCCAGAAGGAGAGTACACTGCCCATCCTTGAAAGAGGTCGGCCAGGCGCTCCCATGCGGCCTTAGAAATCAAACTGAATAAAGCAACTGGTGTCGAACATATACCGGCGACATGCCCCACCTAGCGTGCTTCTGAAGCTTATCAAAAAAGCTAGAGTAGATCCTCTCAGGTGACACAGTGCAGTTGGGCCCATCGAGACCCAAGGCCCGAATAACCCCCGAAGTGTCGATCACCTGGCACGTACATGGTATCGGAAAATCACTCTCAGACGGGGTGTCTGCCGAGGGCTTCTCCTGAGGCAGAAGAACAACATTTTCGTGGCGCGCGAGAAATGTACCGATCTACCCTAGGCCCGTTGGATCCGTTGCATATACGACAGATGCCACTCTCGTCCTGTTGCATCTCCATACGAGCAAACAACAGCTGTAGCTCCCGAATGAGGCACGGCTGCGGCGGAGGCGACTCCTTGGGGTCACCTGTTCCGATAAGGAGCAGATCCACAACGCCCGACCTTCCCAACATCTACCCACCTCCATCATCCCCCTGGTCCCCATTATCATCAGACTCTCCCTTCCTTTTCTTCAAGTACTCCACGATTTCCTCCCGAAGTAGCTGCTGTTGGTGCAGCATATAGTCGACACACTGACAAGGCATGAAGACCCCTTACAGGTCCCTCGGGATACCTTATTTAGCTTCCGCATAACACTCCTTAGCATAAGTTGATGCTTCTGGAGCTCCCCAAATCTCGGGTGGGAAATCCTCCTCTTCTCGCATGACAGCAGCTCGTCAACGATCTCCATCAGCTGTTCGATCACAACGCGGGACTGAAGGAACTCCCATAAGCCAACCTCGTACCCGCATCGCTCCGCCCACCTTCCTGAATCTTCCCAGTAAGTGTCTCTCCATCTCCTCGAACTTCCTAGCGGCCCTCGCACCTGACCCCACAGGGCTACTCCCAATCAACACTGACCCTACTCCCACCTCTATCACTGGCCCCCGAGCTCCCGCGCCCTCCAGCGACCGGTGTTGCCGGACGCCTTTGCGACGACAACAGCTCCCTCTCGGCAACCCGAGCATACTCCGATCTGAACACCATAACTCCTCATCCTACCTCTGCGGTAACCTCTCACTTTCCTGTCACCAACTCCATTATCATTCTCAAATCCCCGCATACTCCCTCTAGGTCCCCTTCAATAGAGTGTAGTGATTCTACCCTTTCCTCAATGCAAGCGGCCGCCTCAGAGTCCTCACATCCCAGATCCGGTATTCTAACATACACTCATTTAATAGCACCACTAAGAAGCGTCGTTACCCATTCCTAAAGGTCGCGTCTAGGTCTGGTCCGCTGCTAGGCTTGGTGTCGATACTGTAGATAGCCTAAACGATATCAGATGGGCTCGGGAGGAGAGGACAGGAGTACCTTGCGGACTGCAGGGATGTAGTAGAGGCTCTGCAGAAGGGAGTTTATATGGTCTGTGGCCAAGACGTTGGAGAGGAGAGCACCACCGAAGCTGCCAGCACGTGGGACCCAGTCGCACTCC